CCCCCCGCGACCCTCGGCGGAAAACCGCGGTAAGCCCCAGCAGACGCCGTCTCTTCCCGGACCTGCCTCGGGAAGAGAAGGGAGTCTTTGCCAAGTTAACTCCTTCCAGCTTCATTGCTTGATGCGCCCGTGGCTGCAAGTAACAGCGAACACCACTAGTCACGCCTGTGACTGCTAGTTACTGCAAGTAACTAGCGAAAAATCAACTGGTTATTCGAAATTTCCTGTGGCGTTCCTGCGTGCTCTCCAGACTGGAGACAAGCTGCTAGCGGTAACCTTGAAATTTCAACAGCAGCTCTCATTAAGTGAAAAATCTTAGTTGCTCCTAATAAAGTATCTGGAGAAAACTTTGGGGATCGGTAAAAATCACTCTTGCACAACTGTGCAGCACGATTCATTGCACGGAGAGCCCTTGTGCTTGAATTGATCACGAGAATGCCTCTACGCACATTTAACTTGCTAGTAAAAATTGCACCCGGACGTCAGATGCACCCATTCAGGTGTTTCTTTTTCTTAAGCAACAACAAAAAAAAGCCCACACAAATAATGTACTTGCAGGAAGGGCCATTAGCACCAACTATGCCCTTACACAATTCTAGAGTATTACAGACCACATAGCCTGCATCGACATTTTTAAGTTAAAACTCCCTGTGGTTTTCAAAATATTTACTTTAACAAATTGGTGGTAGCATCAGCACAGTTGACGATTTCAGTATTTCGAACAGGGAGCTCCAATCGGCATCAAATAGAAGCCCAGACTAAGTAATGACAGCACCGTGTAAATGGATTGTTTATTACCAACCCTGTCCCTTTCCACGTTTAATTTGGGAGTAAATCACCCAAAACCAGGTGAGTCAGTCGGTGGACAGTTTGGCAGCAGGTTTGCAGCTCTTGACTTTTCCCACTCAGATTCACCACATGCCCCTTTCCCTTTAAACAGGCTTAAATCTCTCTCTTTTCAAATTCTCTTTTCAGTGCTACTGTAAACACATGAAATGAGCGCTGGAGGCATCTGCTTATTTGCAGAACATCACAGGAACATCGACAAGGACAACTTCTTTCGGTTAGTACTAGCCAAATACGGTCAAGAGACCACTATGTATATGCCATGCTGGTGAAGAAGTAATTCAGCTTGTCCTCCTCACTGGAATTACCAACCCAGTGCAGATTTTGTGATGTAAATATCCGTCTGACCGAGAAATTCGGTAGTTCATACTCCTCCACCCCCTTTGTTGGCACTGTGCTCTTTTAAGCACAAAACTGGATGACTTTAAACTGGCACTAAAAAGAAAACCACTTAATTTCATTTAATATTAATAGATATTTTCTTTGAGTGTTTGTCCCAGTTGGTAGACTCTTAAGTATGGAAGGCCTCACTAGGAGAGGAGAAAGGTTTTATTCTGACATTTTTATTCCTCTGTATTGTTACTGAAACCCAAAAACTTTATCCAAGAACAAAGCAAACTTTTCTGGCTGTCCAGGAGGAAAAGGTTTCAAAGTTGACAAGTCCATCGACTGCAGTGTCTCCACAAGAGTGCTGTAAAAACAGACCAAAACCAAAAATTAAAAAAAAAAAAAATCAATCCCAAAGGGAATTTTTTTCTTCACAGAATTTTCTTTCTATTCATACATACATAATTCTTTAGCGTGGAAACAAAATTAAGGACACATTGAAAGGAAGACGAGACCCCACAAACCAGCGGGCCCCAACCATCACTGGCTCATAGGCAGCGTTGCTGAGAACACACTTCGACAGCTTTGAGAGACCACCTCAACTCTTAACTTTTTAATCTTCTGCGGTTGCCATGTTGGGAGACTGCACAAGATCTGAAGATCTTCCCCATAAACCTATCTGAACGCATGGCACAGTTCTCTGCTTAACACATAGCCAGAAAGAACAGCTAAATCAATGTTGGCTTGCTGTTATCAGACTGCAAATAAGGCTCAAATGCTAGGCACTTTTCAACAAAAATAAATAAAAATTCCTTCCTGTTTCCGCAGCTGTCAGAAGCACTGAGGTAGTAAGTTTAAGGAACTTGCACAATACAAATGAATCGGGTCTAGTCTTTTCAGAAGGCTCTTCTGAAACATACAAAAATCCTACTTGCAGGGCAAGGGAACAAGATGCAGACTAAATAATAGGAGTTGTATTTCCTCTGCCTTCAATTAAGAGGTCATTTGTTAATTACAGAGTGCAATCAATCACAAATAATCATAAATAGAAAACAGTAAGATACAGTCAAAACAAGAGAGCAGATGTAACTAACAGGAGCCAGGATGAACAAAAACAAAAGGAGCTGGTTTTTTTTGCTGTTGGGTGGTGGGTTTTTTGGGGGAGTTGTTTGTTTGGTGAGTTAGTTGGGTTTTCCTGAAGCGACAGGCACTAGATCTCTGAAACTCCTTGTCAGAGGATGTGGTGGATTCAGGAAGTTTGGTTAAAAGGGCAGCCTGGTAAGTACTTGGAAGACAGAGGTATGCAAAGTTGCTAACTGGACAGCATCTGATTTAAGAATCCCCCTGAATCAAAGTACTTAAGAGCATTAGAAGGAAAGTAATACAAGTACCTTATGCTCTTGCCCTGTTTCCACTTTTGGCTGGGCATCTGCATATGGCCACTCAAATAGGGTACTGAGCTACTTGGACTCCTGATCTGTATCAGCAAGGCCATTCTTACGTTTCGTTCTAAATACTCCAGATACTGACGTAATAAAATTGAAAGTGTATCTATAAAGTCAACTTTAGTGCCCTTTACTAGGAAAATCCACATAGTAAAATGATGAATGGAGTCGTAAGTCTGCAGGGAGCAATTTATATCTTCTGCCTTATAGTTACAAACTGATGGTCTGGGTTATATTATTTCCAGACTTCAAAAAATAATCCAACAACTAGTGAGAAAGAGCAGAGTAGAAGCTGTTAGGTGCCTCTGGGACGCTACCTGACTGCTCCAAATTCAACCACTTCTACTTGGTATAAAGTGCTTTGCTTCCAATCCGAATACACGTTCCCTCAAAAAAAAAAATTAAAAGGAGTCATGGTCAAAAGGCCAAATCCTAATAAATTTGGTAAATTAGCACCTAATGTTAATCTATCCACTATGGAAAATCTACCTTGCAAACAAATGGCTGTTACAGAGGAGGATGCAAGTTTCCTTGCTATGTTCTCAGTACTGTGGTAACACTGAGCGACGGTGCTGAACACTGCTTGTTGAGTCAGGTCAGCTACAGCTGCTCCGTACCTGCAGTTACAGCAGAAGACGTGTCCTTCTCTGTGGAGCTGCTTTGCCAGTTCAAGCTGATGGTTGTTCATCAGCTTTTCGTTTATTACTACTATGAGTGGTTTTCCTTCTTCTAGAGTCTCCAGACAGCTACCCGCACCTGCAGGAGAAACAGAAAGCACGATGAGTTTTTGCCCTGACAGGTGAAATATCATCCCGCTTGCTCCTGAGACACAGGAGGCTCCCGAAGGTGAACATTTAACCGTTCGGCTCCAGCTGTGGACCCCAACATTCCCTCCCCGCCCTCCCCCGAGCTGTAC